GCGTGATATCTGGAAGGGAGATCGTCACAAAATTTAGCCAATGAAATCAAATGTACACTATGCTGGAAACGTCTAGGTACCAATTGATATGTATGAGAAAACTCAAAAATTAATTAAAGAGGTAACAAAACTTTCAGGCTTTGTTGTAAAAACTTGACCAAAATAGATCTAAATATATTAATTCATAATAAGGTTAGATCTAAAAATGGTGACTTATTTCCATGGTGTGTGAATAAAGCTCCAAACAGGCCAGGCTAACCTGAAGATTTTTGGATTGGATTCATTTTGGGCTGGGTTTGGGTTTAAAATTTTTGACCTGAAATTTTCGGTTTGGGTTGTTGCTTGGGACTGAACCAAAAAACTGAACCCAAAAACTTTTTGGACTGTACCAATTATACTTGAGGTCAAAATTATTAAATTGCAATTAAAAATTCCGAAATTTGCATTGCACCACCTATCATAATTTTATACAACTGACACAAGATGCAATTCATGATGTAAGCCTTAATTCATGGTGCAGACATGATTCATGGCAATTTATTAGCTAAAAAATCCTTTTTAGCTATGAAGCATTGATGTTACATTAAAAATTAAAAAAAATTAAAAAGTTTTCATGCAATAAATAAAGAGATTTATATGTAGTTATAGAGGTTGGAATTGTCCAAAAAATTCTTTAGTTGGCTACTAGTTGGTCAAAATTTTTTTAGTTGACTAAATTTTTTTTTTCAATAATTTGCAAATAATGAATTCATTTCCATTTGAATCTTTCACTTTTTCAAAATACTTCCACACAAAACCATGTGTTATGATTCATTTTTTTAAAGGTCTTTTGGAACCACTGCTTAAATCATTGGAACTTGAAGCCAATGAACTATTGGACCCTTGTATCAGAAGTATTTATTAGTTCACATGTAAAATTATCATCTATATAGTCTCTTTCATTTTCGTTTTTGTGACATAAATTTGTAAAATTTTCTTTTTCCTCAAAAAATTCAAGCCACTTGATATTAATTTAAAAGTGTAACATTAAAATTATAAAATCCATACTGTTTTTTAAAAATTTTAAATATATTTCTAAATATCTAATCATATTAATATATTGTAATATAACAAATTTCAGCATTAAAATAGATTCTTAATTTACCTTTAGTTATAAATAATTAACAAACTAATAATAAAAGGCACATCCAATTGTTAATAAGTTCATTCATGAAACTGACATTTCATAACCAAACCGGACAACGTTTTTCCATGACAGGGACAAGAGTGTCTGCATGTATCACGTTAAATGAGAACAACTTTCTTCCGTGTAGACAAAGCTTGCGTATGTATCGTTCTGCAGTTTTGAAATTCACTACGTTTGAAGAAGTGTCCCCAAATTTTTTTTTATAAACCAAAATCTATTTAATCGATTTTAATGCTAAATGCATATAATAACAATATATTCTGACGAATATCTCCCTAGAAAATAACATAATAGAAACAATTATAATACATACAGTACCAAAGAACATTGGATAGAGGTGTTGCATGATAATCGAAATGTTTAGTAATGTCTGCATTGTCGAAAGAAACAATACTCAAACAATACACACTTAAAAAACATACAATGTCATGTGCATTCATGGCTTAAAGAAAGTCAGAAAAAATCTAGTCCTCTACCAGAATCAAAATATGATACTGTACTTTTTAACCGAAATAAATTAATATTTCTTTGCTAGTTAAATACTGTATAAACATTTAATAGGTTCTATGCAGGGCATGTTGGCACCATGCCCAAGTGCCTAACTTTTTTTATTAGGCACCAGTTTCTATGCCCGTGTCTATGCCTGTGCTCCAAATTTTTTGTTAAGCACGAGCATGAGAACCCTGGTCTCAATATATGCAAATTACGGAGTTATTTTTTTTTAATATCACGTGCAAGAATTTCACTTATAATCGTTATATAATAAATTACTTGAATCAAAAAAAAACATGGATTCCGAAGTTTGATTTTCCTAGCAAAGTCCCGTTCTATTTTCTTTTTCAATTCAAAAAAAAATTTAACACGCATAACTTCTATGGTCTCTATTGAACCAAAGTCTCTTATTCATATATACTTGCACATATATCATATGCGCTGATTTTGTTTGATCCCCAAAATCCAGTACGATATGAGCATAACGTTATGAATACTTTATACTAGCAAAACCCCATTGGTTTTGAGGTGAGGCCATTGTTTTGACGGGCTATCGAATAGTAAAATAGTTTTTTAGCGGTGCAAATAAATTTTTGGGGGGTCAATTATCATTCTATTGTCCAGTTTTACATATCATAACGTCGAGACACAATAAAATATAAGGTTTGAAAAAAGGATCCAAAAAACCAAATCGGTTGATATGTACATATGTGTAATTGAGAATTTTGTTATTCCATGATTAAAAATGCACATTTAATTCTGGGAAAAGGACAAATTATTTTTAATACTATTTCATTAACAATTTGTCAACAAATTCTGGACAAAAGTCACATTTTACGAGCAAAAAGGTGAAGATTGTCAAAGCTAGAAACTTTAGTTTACCAACCATCACATCTTCTTAGTTAGTTTTATCCACGACTTGAAACAATGTTAATCAATCTGGTCGTGAACTGCTAGTTCTAAACCTAATTCGAATAAATTTTCGGCATGGATTTCTAATTATCAAGAATTAAAAAATTGCCAATTCCTCTCTCCCTTTGAGGATATAAATTTTTGAACAATTAAGAATTAAGCATAAGAATAAAGATAACAACAGAGAAGGAGAGACGAAATGCCAAAGGAATTCAAAATAAAAGTTAATTAATAGCTTTACATGCTATGACATATGCGAATCTTTTTGAATAAGAGAATTTAAGGGATTCTTTGGCTGATTGGATTAGCATTAGTGGCAGAAACAGATTGAAGACTTGGTGAAATAAATATTGAGTTTAAGAAAGAGAAGGAATAAATTCATTGCAGTTAATAGGGAAACGGAAAAATTAAGAAAAATCTTTGAAGGACAAAAAAGAATTCATAATCAAATGAATCAAGCAAGTATTTTAATTAATTTATTTGTTAATGTAGAAGAATCTACATTGGTCGAGGATTATAATTTAATGAATTGCCAGATTAAAAAATAATTTTTGGTTGACAATTGATTGACAAAAAAACAACTGGTTGAAAACTTTATGACAGTAGAATCCATCGAATAGATATATTTTTTTAAACTTTAATTTAATTTTAGAATTTAAGAATATATCCTAATTTAGAGATAATTTCTATAATAAATGAATAATAAGAATCGATGTTCTATGATTAATTGGTTAATGATTAGTTTGGAATTTTAAATGTTTCTTTCTTTCCTAACTTTCCCTTCCATGCACATTTCCAAGACAAATCTTTATCATTAATATAGATGAGTTATGATGGTGAATAGACATTATGAGGAGAGAGAAAGGAAAACTATTACTATTACCAACAATAATAAAATTTGATTGATTGACGGATAGAAGAAAGACAAATGTAAGTTTAAAACCCAGGATTTTTCGATAATAATTATAGTGATTCCAACAATGATTTCAGCATAAATGATTGGTTCTGTTTTTTTTTTTTTTTTGTCTTCATTATTAAATACCCGTTGTATTTTTTTTTTCGAATATTACGACAGATAATAATAACCGATTTAACTAACAAATTGTTTTTGTTTGTTTATAATTAATGTGATGAAAATCTCTTTTCAATGCTTAATTAGTAATCACAGCCTTAGTAAAAATTGGGTGCACGCGACTTTAAAGCTAGATTTTGTTAGAAGTTTGGATTATTTTTGAGTAGAAAAATTAGAAATTATTTTGTAGATTATTATTTATTGTTATTTATTTTTAACATTTTTAATAGTTATTAGGAAAAAGGAATTGTGTGTAACCATAAATAAACAATCCAATTCATTGATTTTCCATAAAAGATAATTAAAATAATTTTTATTTATTTATTTTTTTTTTCCCAAGCCACTTAAAAATAGAACAAACATATTTCAATAATTCGACAAATTCATTGGATGATAATTAGCCACTCGAAACAAAAAAATCTTTTTTTCGTGTGTCAAGCCTCGGCGACCGAATTCATGTGTAACTAAAAGAAATTAAATGTCAAGAATACTAAAAGAAAAAATTTATAATAATATTATTTTTTAACTTTAACATTATGGAGAAAAAAATATATATAAATATAAATATAAAAATCCAACATCAAATTCACCCAAAAAATTTAAAATCTTCTTTTTAAGGATTAAAAAAATATTTATTTCTTCTTTTTTTGATCATAAAAATAAAAAATTTTAAATTTTTGATTTTTGATTTTATACGTTAATTTAGAAATAAAAAAAAAATATATATATAAAAAAAGAAAAAAAGATTTATTTTATATCCGTTTTTTCCACTTTCCACCCTCCTTACACGCCACAACACCAACATTCACACATTGCATTCCCTCTCTATCACACACTTCTCAATCAATCAACCAATCAAATCAATGAATTTAAATCACGTCTAATAAATTATTTTTCTTCCAAATTATATACTTTTCTATTTGCTACTCAAATATAAGAACACAACATTCTATATATTTTTAAATTATACACTATATTTATATACTCAATTCATTGTGAAAAATCAAATAAATATAAATACTTTACGAATAAACTTTTTTCTTAAAAAAAAAATAAAAATAAACAAATCTAATCTTTCCTTTTTTTTTAAAAAAAAAAAAGATTTTTACGAAATTTCTCGGTTTTTTTATTTTTTATTTTATTTTTCTTAACGTAAGTATTTCATTTCTATTTTCTTTATATAAAATTTATATAGTGATTTTTCAAAATAAGATTTTTCTCTCTTTCCCTCCTTCCCTCCCTCTTACCATTTCCAAAAAAAATGAAAATAATCAACCGTACTAATCATTTTATTATTATTTTATTATTATTATTTATTATTTATTTAGTGTCTCAGTTATGAGCTATTCTAATGTCGTATGGATTGACGATCCTTTTTTCATTAAGAGACAACGTGTACAAATTGCTTGTTCATTTTGTCGTCAAAGAAAAATACGTTGCGATGGCATAACACCTTGTGGAAATTGTCAGAAATATTCTACAAACTGTGTAAAAGTTAAACTTGAAAGACCATCTCGTGGAGCTAAAAAAAATTCTAATAATACGAAGAATTGTAACGACAGTGACAATATTGACAAAGATATTAACGAAGATGAATTTATCACCACTGAAAACATTAACGCCACCGATAAAAATAACATTTTCTCAACAGCAACAAACGCTTTAAATTTATCTTTGATTTCTTCATCCTCTTTCAATTATCGTATCAATAAACGTCCTAACGATGATCACGATCAATTACCTCAAAGTTTGCCTCCTTTCCAACGATCTATTCAAAATAACAACAATGATGATGATCATGATGACAATGACGACGACGATAATCATCATCACAATATTAAATCGTCTCAATGCAAATGTAGATATAAAAAGATATATAATATAATATTATGATTTATTGATTTGTTAATTTATTTATTAATTTATTTATTTATTTTGTCCTCCCACTCACAAGTATCTAATCCAATCAATATCATGATCACTGAACCAAAGATTCCTTTGCTTAACAAAAATCAATTCTTTATGCCAAATGACGAATTGTTTGAACATTTGTTGGATCTTTATTGGACAAACGTACATCCAAATGTGCCAGTACTAAATAAATCTTTATTTCTACAACAATTAAATGGTCCTAATGATCAAGCCTCTCCTCTGTTACTTAATGCTATGTTTGCTATATCTTCTGATTTTTCTGAGATCCCATCAGTTAGACTAGACTCTGAAACCAATGAAAGTAGTGGTTGGTTGTATTTTGATAGGGCAAGAAATATGTTGGATGATTTCTTGGATGCGCCGAGGATGTCAACAATAGCTGCACTTATACTCATGTCTATATTTCAACAACGTAACACGACTAGACGTTCAGTTATTCCAGCTGGTTATTTTCGTAGATGGATGTATATTGGAATTGCTATTAGAATGGCTTTAGAATTAGAATTGAATAAAGAATGTAATGATGATAATAATCAAATTGACAACTCCATTAAAGAACTAAGGAAAAGATTATGGTGGTCTTTATTTATGCTAGATGTATTAGTTTGTTGTGGAATTGGTAAAACTAGTTATATAGATGAATTAGATTGTACTATTTCAGATCCTAATGTTGATATGATTGATGAACCTGAACTAAGAAACAGCAGTGCTTTAATTGAGTTTATTCAACAAATAAAATTTACTAAATTATTGCATTTATTATTAAAATATAACTTTACCTCAAATAATAATAGTCATGATGATGATAATAATAATAGTAATAGTAGTAACAGTAATACTGATAATAGCATTAGCAGTAATGATAACATTGATAATAAATCATCAGATGATTACAATAGTATTAAAGATTTCGAAAATCAAATCAATTCATGGTTTTGGCATTTGCCAAAACAGTCAACAAATACTTTGGTGGAAAATTTTAATGATTATTCTACTACAATGTTACACTTAAATATGTTATATCATTCATTTATTATAATTTTACATAGAAGATATATCACGTCATCATTTGATTCATTTTTAAAATGTTCACATGCAGCAGCAAATATCATGCCTATTGGAGATTTAATCTTGTCCAGATTGTCTAAACCATTTAGAGGGTTTCTTAATTGTACTATCTGGTGTTTACTACAAGCAGGACTGATCCATGCAATCAATCAATATAGAGGAAATGGAGATACAAGTAGAGTAGCCAAGCAATATTATGATAGAATTGTTGATTTGTTTGAAAAAAATTCACAGTTTACAGCATCACAAGCTTTACAAGATCAAGCAAATGCATGTAGTAGTAAACATTCTCAATGTTTATCAATGATAGATATTTGGAATTTGGTTGATAACAATCATTGTAATAATATCAATAACAATAATAATGATTGTGATGATGATGATAACGATGATAATGACGATAATGACAACATCAATAATCATTTATCGACTGAAATATCTAGAAATTCAACGAATGATCATTCACAACTTTATATGTTATCAAATATAACGGGAACTAAGGTTATATCATTTAACATTTTTTATTATCATGTTATTACATTTATTATCATATTTAACATTTTATTAAATTAATCCTTTAAATTTAGACTCCATCCTTGAATTTTATTATTGATGATAACGAACAATTGGAAAATTCAATTCTTAATAATAATAATAATAATAATAATAATAATAATAATAATAATAATAATAATAATAATAATAACAACAACAACAACAACAATTATTACAAACAACTTCAAGCTTTACATTATGGTGGCAATTCGTCATCTAATAATAACACTGCTACTGCTACTACTACTTCTTCAGCAACTACGGGGAAAAGATCGACTAGAAGTTCTAGTAATGCTGATAATAACAGCAGTAATACAAATATTTTTGAGATAACTCATTTAACTACACATATCAGCACACCATATCCAAGTCCAACACATGGTGCGATATCTCCGATGATTAGCACGACACCACAAGTGTCACCAAATGTTGATTTAGGACAGTTCACAACCAGTAATAATGAGGCCACAACATCACCCGACGAATTATTTAATCCTTTCCCAGTACTTGGTAATGATGAAGATCATAATAATTGGTTTAATGGTTCAACATCCACTAATTCTAATAATAATTCACAAAATCATCCTAGTCATCATCAAACTGGTTCATGGAATCATCATAATAATCAACAAAACTATTATAATAACAATAACGCCGATAACTACATCAGACCATCTTTAACACCTCCAACGCATCCAACAACACCAATTTCATCACCAATAAGAAAATTATCATTGGGAATGTCTTCTCCGTCATCCTCTACTACTAACATCGTCACTATTACAAATAATAATGGAATATTTTATAATGATGGATCCATTATACATCTTTCACCAACAACTTCTCCTTTTGATTCACCAAATCCAGGAGACAGTAATGATACGAACGCGTCACCTAACGTAGATAATAGAGTTTCAACATCATCGAGTAATACGAATAATTCTAATGATAACAATTACATTACATCATCATCGCCATCATCATCATCAAACAATCATCACGATTCTGAATCTTGTGGTTCAGGTTATATTTTTGGAAGTTTTAACGGTTTAGGGATTTGTTCAAATTAAAAAAATACATATATAATGTGTGTGTATTATCTTTGTATATTTCTTTTATTTTTTTTCATTTTTGTAAAATTCAAATATGTTTCTTAATTTTTTGGGGGGTTTTTCAGAGTATCCATTCATTCATTCTATTGGAATGAATCATTATTTATTATCGACATTATTACTATTTTCATTTACCATATATTTATTATTTTCATTTAAATCATTTAAATTAAAAAACACACACAAACATGACAACTGCAACATAAAAAGGAGAAGATTTATTATTAAAGCATCGATGACATCAGCGACGACGACAACGACGTTATAATTATCAAAGTTGATAATTATATAAAATATATGATGAATCATTCATTTATTTTCCTCAACAATCAATTGTTTTGTTATATATATACTGTATGTTGTAGCACGTGTAAAAATTTATTTTTTTTTGTAGATAAAAAATTTTTTATGTATATATGATATGGTTATTATTATGTATAGTGTTTTGTTGTTGATAAAAATATATATATATATACTATTAATCCGTTCAAAAAAAATCTCCAACTTATTATTATGATTTTTATTTTTTAATTATAGAATTTTTACTAAGGATCTAAGTTGTTTTGGAAACAAATCAACATCATTTATTAACTTAATAAAGTAAAAAAGGTTTTTTGTTTGTCTTTTAGGATAAATAATAAAAAAGTTTTTATTTGACGTAAATTAGAAGATCAGCAAGCAAAAAAATTCGCGATTTTTCATTTGATAATATTATTAAATGTCATTAATACTAATATGTAATAACAAACATCTTTTCGGTCAGTGAAATAGTTCTTTTTCACGTATAAGGAAAGGATATGATAATAGTAACTCAACTTTTTGTTAGTTTAATCAAAAATACGTTAAAGATTAGAATATGTTTTTTCTTCAAAATAATTATTTATTTGACAAAAATTATTATCCAAAAAGCTCACAAATTTCATTTCATTTTTCTTCGATCTAAATCTTTCATTCATCAATCAATTAACCAATCACCTTTATTTATCGTTGTATCTTCATAATCTAGTTTTTTTGCCTCCTCTTTCTGTTTTAATTTAAAAAAAATTTTCACACTACTATTTTACTATCACGTGAATTTATTTTTTTGTTACAAGTCATTTAACAAAAATGCATTGTATTGGTGTAGATTATTAAATTCCCTAATTAAGTTACGATTAGTTAGTGTGTCTCATAGATTATATATAAAAAGAGTGAATAAATTTTTTCATCCCTTTGTTTTAAAAAATAATAATCTCTTTTTTTAAATTAGAAAAAAAAAATAATATCTTCAATATAAAAAGCGTTTTAGTTATCAGTTATTGAAAGCATGTCAGGCGAAGATTTAAATAGTATTAAAAGAAGAAGGGTTGCTAGAGCTTGCGATACTTGTAGAAGAAAAAAAGTTCGTTGTGATGGCGTTCAACCTGGCTCTGATCCTCCTTCTTGTACAAATTGCAAAGCATATGGATATGAATGGTAAATAAAAAAATAATAAATAAATAGGTAATAAACAAATAAATCAAAAAACAATTAAATTTAATATATTTTTCTTCTTATTTGTTGTTAGTTCTTTTATTGATGCTCCTAAAAAAAGGGGTCCTCCTAAAGGTTATATTGAAGCATTAGAAACTAGGTTACAAAGAATGGAATCTGTTCTAAGCAATTTAATTCAATCAGGTGAATTACCTGAGAGCTCAATTAATTCAAATTTAGAATGGATTAATGTTAATGAAAGTAATTTCAAATCTCAAGATTCATCATTGTCATCATCATCATCAAACAACAAAAACACTCTAAGAAAACCTTTATCTTTTGATTCATCTGTCTCTTATAATTTAAAAAAGTCCTATTCCTCCTATTCTAACAATCTCGTCTCAAATGATGACGACGATGATAATGATAAACATAATATCAAATATAGATCAACCAACAACCAACCTAGTGATTCCGAAGAAAGTTACTCTAGTGATAGTAATGAATGTGGTAATTCTCATTATGATTTGAATGATAGTATGGGTCAATTGGCAATCGACGAGAGTGGTCACACAAGATATCTTGGTAGCAGTTCTGGAATTTTCTTATTAAAATTCACAAAAAAAGTTGCTCACGGTCAAATGATCAGTATTCCAAGTAATTCTATAAAATCAAAACGGAACGACAAAAATTTAGTCATAGAATTGCCTCCAAAAGAGTTATGTGATGCTCTTTTAAACATATATTGGAATAAATTACATCCTTACGTGCCTTTTATTGACAAGTCAGAAGTGATGGAAAAATATAACAATTTGGAAACAAATTTTCCTTCTGTCATTCTACTTTATTCTATCTTTGCTTTAGCTTCAAAATATATTGACGATACTTCCGTACGTTCAAATCCTGATGATCCAATCACTGCCGGTGTTCCATTTTATGAACGTGCAAAAGAAATAATCAAAGATGAATTTGAGACTGCTACTATAACTACTGTACAAGCTCTTTTGTTATTGTCGATATTTTACCAAGGCGATAAAGGTTCTACTCCTTGGATTTATGTTGGTTTGGCTATACGTTTAGCTCAAGACATGGGTTTACATCGTGATTCTTCAAAGTGGAATCTTGACGAGAGGCAAATCGAATTAAGAAAACGTATTTGGTGGGTCTGCGTTTTGTTAGATAGATTCATCAGTACTGCTTTAGGTAGACCGTTTGCCATAAATGATTCCGATTACGATATACAATTACCTATTCAAGATAAATTGCCCGAAGATCCGGAAGGCTCTGTTGAAAGTTTGATCCAAATGATCAAGTTAAGCCTGATATTTGGACAAGTTCTTTCTCACGTTTACGGCATTAAACATAAGCACAGTTCTCATAAAAATAATGATTCGGTATTAGCCTCTTTAGATGGAGAATTGAATGAATGGCGTGATAATTTACCTAAAGCCTATCAGTGTGATTCAACTACATTACGTTTTGGTGATTTGACAAACAGTAGAAGAACTTTTCTGCATTTATTATATTACACAATTCAAATATTATTACATAGACCTCATATACGTGGTCCAAAATCAAAAGCTCCTCCATCTGCCATTCCATCATTAACCATTTGTACAATGGCCGCGAATAACATTACTCATATTTTATATAGAACAATGAAGGATGGTGGTTTGGGGGTCACATGGCAATTCAACATATATCCATTTTTTACTGCTGTTTCAACACACATAATCAATGCATTAAGTGGTGATGATAGATTTAGAGAAGTTGCAAAACAAGGTCTAAGAATGTCATTAAAATGCTTAGAAGATATAAAAAGTTCTTGGTATGCCGGTAACAAGTGCATATCATTGATTAATGATGTTATAAGAGTAAAAAACATTAATCTAGATGGAATTAATGGTTTAAACGATGTTGTGATAAATAAAAATAAAAATAATGGTGATGATCTTGGTGAATATTGTAATAGTTTAAATAATGATAACAATGATAATTGTGGTGACTCAATGAATATATCAAAACCACGTGTCACTTTTGCACCATCATTATCATCATCAAAATCCTCCTCGCCACCATCATCTCAAAATAATTTATCATCACCTACATCAATTCAGGATTATAATACTGCAATGATACAACAACATATGATCAATCATTTAGTTTTAAGTAATCAAATAATCACTAATAATAATAATCAAAATACTAGTCCCAACAACATTAATTCTCATCATTCTACTACTAATACTAATGCTAATTTTGATTCTAATGTAAATAATCTTAACAATAATTCATCCACTTCATCTCCTGAGTCAAACTCGTCAACCTCATCAACTTCATTATCTTATAATGAATATCTATTATCAGATCCGTTATTTCCCACAAACGCTGATGCATTTGCTCCTGATGTTTCATCATTTTTATTTGATGATGTTGAAGATCATATGGGAAATAATAATCCTATACTACCACCAGCAATTGATTGGAGAAATTGGTCTGATTGGGCTGAATATCTGATAAGAATACAAGCTATAAGAACTGCGAGCTCGCCAGGAGGTCCTATTGTTCCAGCATCATCACCACTGCCGCCATCATCAGCAGCATCAACAACTACATCATCATCAACAACAATAACGACACCGCCAAATCTTCAATCTAATATCACCACACCAACCACTACAACAACAGCAAATACAAACCATCGTTATCAACATCAACTACAACTAAATCATCAATTAAATCAATTAAATCATCATGGAAACATAAATATTCATAATACAGATTTAATTGGTTAATTAAATTCTTACCAAGACTAATAATAATTATGATACAGACGATATAATCTTGGAAACTTTTTAATTAGTATATATATTATTGTATGTTTCTAATATATATTTTATATGTAATGTATATAATAAAATCTTAATTGAATTAGTTAATATTGATACGATGTTTAATAGAAAAAAAATTTTTTATATTTGATTTGTTAAATATAAAATAATTAAAATAAAAATTATCAAGAAATAAACAACATTTCTATCAGCAAAAACGAATTATTTTTATTATTTTATTAAAAAAAAAAAAATAACGAATGGAATTAAAAAAAAAATAATAGTGATAAATTTTTTTTTTCAAATTATAAAAAAATAAAAAAAAAATTTGTAATTTTACTACTACAACCAATAATAATATTATAAAGTTAACGTTAACGATTACCTGAAATAACAATTATTGTTGAGAAAGATGTGACTGCAATTGATAATCTGCCATTGCCTATTTAAATAATATTATCAAATGAATGAATGAATAATAGCAATTCTTTGATTTTTCTTTAATAAGTATTATTTAAAAGACACAGTACCACAGAATTTACCATGGGATTTAAATCATGATGTTCTGATGGTTCAATATGAGCAGCAACAGTAATATAAAATGACTTTTCAAGTTTATATACAGTATCACCATGATAATAATTGGCAACTGCAGTGATTTCGCAACTTTGAGAATTCATATCGGGTGTGCCAGTAAGAACATTGTTTTCCCATCGAAGCCAATTAGGTAACCAAGGTGAATGAAAAACAGCTTTAATTGCTATACATTGTGTGTGTGTGTGTGTGTGTGTGTGTGTGTGTGTGTGTGTGTGTGTGTGTGTGTGTGTGTGTGTGTGTGTGTGTGT